TCTTGCACCATCTGAAACTCAAGGCTGAAAACCTCTGGGTAGATGAATCAGGAGCTGGAGCCGAATCTGCCCAAGCCCCGCACTGCTCTTTAGATTCCTGGAGTCTCCTGAGATCTTTTTTAAAAATTTATTTATTTTTATTGCAAAGTCAGATATACAGAGAGGAGGAGAGACAGAGAAGAAGATCCTCTGTCCGATGAATTACTCCCCAAGTGACCACAATGGCCAGTGCTGCGCCAATCCGAAGCCAGGAACCAGGAACCTCCTCCAGATCTCCCACACGGTGCAGGTTCCCAAGGCTTTGGGTCATCCTCGACTGCTTTCCCAGGCCACAGACAGGGAACTGAATGGGAAGTGGAATAGCCGGGATTAGAACCAGCGCCCATATGGGATCCTGGCCCATTCAAGGTGAGGACTTGTAGCTGCTAGGCCATCACGCTGGGCCCATCTCCTAAGATCTTAGCCCTTGCATTTTCAGCGTTTTTGTGAGTAGTTCTTCCATTAACGTTTGGGAAATTCAAACTGGCCTTTGTAACTTACACCCAACTTGGTAGGACCTTGGCAACCGGGGGAGTGTTCAGATTTGATGACCTTGAGTCACTTCTTGTTAGTGTGAGCTCCCACGTGTGCCTGCTCGGCAGCTGCCTTACCCTTCAGGTTAGGGATGTGGATTTGGAGCCTGCCCTGGTGTGACTCTTCAAGCTGCAGCCGGTATGACTTGGGCCAGGTTGCTTTGCTTTGCTCTGCTTGTTTCCTTATTCAAGCATCTGGAACGAAGGGCCGGCATTTGGCCTAGTGCATAAGACAGTATCTGGGACATGCACATCCAACACTGAAGTGCCTGGCTTCAAGTTCTCTCTCCCTCTCTTGTAACTCTACCTTAAAAAAAATTACTTGTTTTTAATGGAAAGTCAGATATACAGAGAGGAAGAGAGACAGACAAGATCTTCTGTTCATTGATTCACTCCCGAAGTAGCAGCAACTGCCAAAGTTGCACCAATCTGAAGCCAGGAGTCCAGACCCTCTTCCGGGTCTCCCACGTGGGTGCAGGGTCCCAAGGCTTTGGGCCATCCTTGACTGCTTTCCCAGGCCACAAACATGGAGTTGGATTGGAAGTGGAGCAACTGGGACATGAATCAGCGCCCATATGGGTTCCCAAAGCTTGCAGGAGGAGGATTAGCCAATTGAGCCATTACATTGGCCCCAAAACATGACAATCTTAACTTGGAAAAAAAATCTTACCTTAATTGAATATTTTCCACATGAGGCTATACTCAACACATTTTAAAAATGGATGAAATGACCACCATCTAAGTTGTCAAGGTTTTCCATGCTGCACTTGTTAAGGCTTCTCCTTATTTTAAAAAGGACAGTGGGAGCTTTGTTGTAAGGAGGAGAACAGCTGCTGTTTCATTCCTTCCATTTCCCCAGCCTGGTCAGGGCGGGCCCTGCCTCCATGGCAACCCCATACAGAGGTACAGATCAACTCAGTGAAGAAGCACCCTTTCATCTTTATTATGGGCGGGTCGATCACCCTTCCTTTCCTGAATGTTACTCTGCAGCAGCCCAGAGCGTGCAGCCTCCTGCCTAGTGTCAGGTCCGTTGCCACCCGGAGCCTGGTTTGATATCTTGGCCCGGGGTGTCACGTGGGTGCTCAGGATGTGTCGCTGCTTTTCCAAGGATTTGGGGAGCCTTGGTGCTGCATCCCACTACTGAGCTGCAGGAGGGGTCCATGGTTGGGGTGAAGGCACAGTGCTAGAACATGCTGTTCCAAGCCACAGCACTTTGGCTGTTAGAAATGTGGAAGTAGGGCAAGCATCAGAGATGCTGGGTGTCCCTTCTCATAGGGCCTGGGTTTGTTTGGGGGCTTCCCTCCCCAATTCCAGCTCCCTGTGACTACAGATACTGGGAGGAAGCAATGACGTTTAAGCAACCAGGTTGCTGGCTCTGTCAACACAGACCTAGATGGAGCTCCCTGTTCCCTGCTTAGGTCTGTCCATTCCTGGCAGTGGTGGGCATCCAGGAAGCACGACAGCAGCTGGGCCCTTGCTTTGTGTGACTCTCAAACACCAAGGTGTTAAAACAGCAGACTTGCACTGGATTGGAAGTGCATGTCAGCAAGATCTCTGAGAGTCTGCAAACTCCGGGCTCCTGCGCGAGCTTCGCCTTGTCCTGAATTCCGAGCCTGGGGAGTAGACCTCAGCTCTGGAACCTCTGGCCACACCGCCCATGGATGCCCATGCGTCCCGGTCAGTCTGCTATGAGTACTACTGATTTCATCTCAGCCCGGAAACTAGTTCTGTTCTGAGCACAGTTTGGGTTTCCTGCCACATCTGTCCACAGGTCACTTGAAGCCTGGGATAAGGGACTAGATAGGCCTGGCAGGGAAACAGCTAAGTGAGGCGGCTGATCCCAGCTCCCTTCCCCCACACCATTTTGCGCTTTGTGCCTCCGCTGCCAGCGGAGCCTGAGCCATCATCTTGTGAGTCCCTGTCATCTGTTCTCCCCTTCTCCCCCTAAGCCACCAGCCCTTGGAGGCAGATGCCAAGAATTGTTCATCACTTCGCTTGGAAAAACTCCCTTGCTCTTTCTAAGGCACGTGAGTTCCACAGCTCCAGGGTAATCCCCAGCTGCGGTTTCTGCAAAGTTTTCCCCAAGATGGGAAAAGAGTTTGGGATATTCGTACCAGGTCCCCTAGGTTGAGAAGGCTGCTGGGGCTGGCTCTGACCTTTCTTGCCAAGTGAAACTTGAGCTGCACCTAAGGCATGTTCATGGGAGGAAGGGGTCCGGAGGAGGAAGACACCCCGGCTCAGTTCTGTGTCCAGCAGTGACTGAAGTTTCCACGTGGATCTCACCAAGCACCCAGCCGCCAACATTTCCATGGCTCCCAGGAAGATTTAGAAATAGCTCAGACTAGTATGTTCCCTCAAGAAAAACTCTGCCAAGAGGTTGATGCCTCCAACTTTGGCATCCCATGTGAGTGCCAGTTTACATCATCCACAGCAGAAGATGGCCCAAGTGTTTGGGTCCCTGGCACTCATCTGGAAGGCCCAGATGAGGCTCTTGGCTTCAACCTGACCCAGCCCCCATTGCTGTGCCATATGAGGAGTGAACCAGCAGATGGAAGCTTCTGGAAAATTCTCTCTTGTGCTTTTATCTCTGTAAGTCTAGATTTGAAATAAATGTTAAGGAAAGAAGAAAACCCTTTCTGGAAGGAGCTTATTCCATGTGACCCATAAAGGAAATCTTTCCTGCCGGATGGGCAGGCAGAAGCCATCAAGGAACTGAATTCCAGGAAGCAGCTGACATGACTTTTTGTTTCCTCCCTGTGTCACTTCCCTCTTTCCCTGGGCTCCCTGGCCTCTCCCTATGCCGACAGCTGACCCAGAGCTGCTTGGAGAGAAAGTGAAGCGGGCAGACTGTGCTGGGGCTCTTTCCTATGGAGACTGAAGACTTTTCTGCCGGTCACAGTGCTTCCATTCTAGCATTTTCCATGAGGGAGCTCTAGGTTCCCAACTGGCACGATGGGAAGAAAGCAGATTTAAATGAAAAGGGGAAGGTTAGGAAGCAGCAAAATAGAGGAATTAAAGAACTGGGGCAACCCTCGGGACTGAACCTGACCCAGCTTCCTTGGGATTTGCGTAGCTACCAGAAGCCATGGTGACCACCATGGTCTGGAAGGGGGCAGAGCAAACCCAGATGGGTCAGAGCGGCTCCTGCTGCCCTGAGGGTCCTGCTTCTCCACTTTTCTAACACAGACTGGAGCAAGGGTATATGGGAGACTGGTATGAACTGGACACCTTGACAGGGAAGAGTTGCTCCTGGCCAAGCAGGCCCTAGAGGAATCCTCCCAAGGTGGGCACCCTTGAGTATAGGGGTGGGAATCTCTCCCCATAGCCATCTCATCTCTCCCACCCAACAGCTGAGAGAGCTGGGCCTCATGATCACATGTGATGTCATCAGACACCTGTGTTCAGTGCTCTGATGGACAAGGGCACCTTGACAGAGGATCAGACAGGGAGAGGGGGGCCCACAGCACTGGCTCCAGAAGGGAGCTGGCATTGGCCGGCCTGCTCTAATGCTTTGTGTATGATGGAGGTGGCCATCTTTGTTGTTACAATGTGGATGCACACAAGTTGCATGTGCTATTGTGCGTTTCCTGGAATGCCAGCTATCTCAGTCCTCTTTCCACTTATACCAGCAGCATTTTCAGGGGAAGATATCAACTGTGGAGCACCTCAACCCAACTTACTGATTCCGCAGAATTACTCAGCACAGTTGGAGGCATGAGCTCAACTCTTCAAGCCTTTACTTTGTTTCTATCCCAGCCAGTGAGCCAATAGGTAGATTCCGGAACAGCGTTCTCCTGTAGATGATGTTTAACTACCTGCAGACAAGCTGCACATTAAATAATGGGAAGAGCTGCCTTTCCAGCAAGGTCATCTTGGGTAGGACAGTTTCTGGACGGGTTTTACCCACTGTGGAATCCAGGCTGTTGAGCAATGGCTTATATTTTACTTCAGCACAACATGCTTGGGACCCTGCTAGGTTGTGCATGTGGATTGCTTGCTCCAACTTTCCCACCAGCCCAAGAGTTAAACCACCAACGGAAGACCCCCCAGGCGAGTACCCAGGCTGCCACAGTCCCACATGGGGCGGGGGGGATGGCTCTTTCCACACCCACTATTCCCCCAAGCTCAAATAATCTCCTGAAGTGGAATTTAGGTGCATCTCAAAGTTAAAGGGCTGAAAGAAAGGGCAGTGTAGCAGCTTGTAGTCACCCCAAGCCTGAGACAGGAACTTCCTGTCACAATGAGACCAGCCTTCCTTCCACATGTGGGTTCCTTATTGCCTGCAGAACCCTGAGCAAGTTGGGAGCTCTGGCATGAGCCCTCCTCCTGCTTGCCGATTTTCCACCTGCTCCCCCATCCGAGGACCCACAGCCTCTCCAAGTGGGAATCCCAGCAGCAGCCTAGAGCAGACAACTGAGATAACACTGTTTGTAAAAATCTGTTTAATAAATATACATCTCAGAAGTACCAAAATAATTACCAACAAAATACACTATGTACACTGTGTACAAGAGGGCGGCGACTCTGGGTCCCACAGCCCCAGGGGCCCCGACGACACACCGGTCATCAGGTGGCATGGGACGTGCCTGGGACTGGCCACCCCATGCAGGCGACCAACCAAAACGCAATAAATAAAACGTGGTCCTTTCATGACATCTGGCCTTAATATTCGCCAAAACCCCCACCAAGAGGAAGTCCGAGAGTTGATTTCTTTTTTTTTTTTGTTGCCTCTGAATCCTCTCCCTTGTCCCTCTGCGATGTTCAGGAAGTGTATCCCATCGCAGGCTGACCCACTGCCAGTTAGTATTCCAGGCTAGCTGGACGCGGTGCAGCGCAGTTCCAGAGACACCCTTAGGAATTTTTGGTGTGTTCTTTTTGGTATGTGGTTTTTTTTTGTTGTTGTTTTTTTGTTTTTTTAAAAAAATAAAACTCTTTCTGTACAAATATACAAGTCCATGGGTGCTCCAGACATGTATCATGTCAGACGTTGGCCTCCAAACACGCAGTCATCGTAGGGCAGCTGAAAGGAGGAGAAGAGGGTACGTGAGAACTCCACAGAGAGGAGCACATCAGGGCGCGAAGCCACAGCTTCCCCCCCCCCCCCACCACTGTCTGCCTAAGCTTTCTCGGACCCTGCTCTCCACAGCCCCAGGAATACCAAGACCCTGACAGGCAGTGTGTGTTTCCTTTTAAAGGATCTGCCTAAAAGGGGATAAGCTATCTCCTGTTCCTTTTAAGAAAAGGGCACAGCAAAGCTGGAGCGCTTCCGCGTACCAAGATGGCTCTGGTCGGAGCAATTGGAGGGGCCGGGATGGTCACTTGGGGTTTCTTCACAGGGGACAGCAGACGGCAGTGGCGACTCACCTCATCCTCCGTGACCTCCGACTCGGTGTCATAGCTCTCCTCGTCCTCGCTCTCTGGCAGCCTCTGAAGGTTTTCCAAGGTTAGCTGGCCCAGCTGCTGCTGGATCCGGGTGCTGGGCCGGCCCCAGGTGAGCTGGTATGGGGAGTAACCCTGGTAGGTCACCCGGTTGACGTCAGCCCCGCACTTCAGCAAAAGCGACACCAGGTCTGGGTTCTGCAGGTCCACCGCCAGGTGCAGGGCTGTCCGGCCATTGCAGGGTTCCTGCAGCCAAGAAGGAAGGGGTGATGTTTAGGACCAAGCCTGGCATTTCTGCCTGCCAAGGCTAGGCGACATGCTTCCAGCAAGGAGCCACGCTGCCTCTTCAGGCAGGAGACACTCACCTGGGCGTTGACGTCAGCGCCCCAGGACACCAGCAGCTCCACGATGCCCAGGTAGCCGTGGATGGAGGCTAGGTGCAGACACGTGTGGCCTGGAGGGACAGAGGGAAGCCAGTCTAACTACCTGTTTCAACCCTGACCCTGAAGCATACCTTCCCCCGCAAGTCACTCATGGGACGGGCACACATGGCTTCTGAATTTTTAAAGAGCCAGGATCTGGGTTGGTCATGAACTTGGTCAAAAGCATCTGAGAGGGGCACCTGCCACCCCTGTTTCTTCCAGCTTCCACATGCTTGGAAGTCAAGCTCTTTCCTGCACTGCTGAAGTTGCCTTCCTCCCAGTACCCACTGTGTACCACCCAGAAGGGAACAGAGCAGGACAGGGCAGGCAGATGGTCGTACCGTTGTAGTTGGTGGCCTGCAGGATGGAGTGCAAGTGCTGGGCTGTGCAGGTCTGCTTGAGGACCCCCACGCTGGCCAGGCAGCCCTGCTCACAGGCCAGGTGCAGTGGAGTATTTCCTCGAAAGTCTCGCAGCTCAGGATCGCAGCCAGCTTCCAGCAGCGCCTCAGCAATTTCTGGCTGGTTGGTGATCACGGCCAAGTGCAGTGGAGTCTACCAGCGGAAGAGGGGACAGAGGAGAAGAGATAAGCCACAGAGCAGAGTCAGCAGCTGGGTTCCCTGCAGAGCCCGACATCTTCCGGGAGTGGGAGTGGGTGTGGGGTTCTGTTCTTTCCAGACAAGCAGGGGGCTCCGGGGTGGGGAGGGGGTCGTGCAGTCCTCAGTAAGTCAACAGACTATTTTTACTCTAGGCCCTGGGCTGACTGGGCTGAAAGAGGCCTGGCCACAGAAGGACTCGCGGTGGTTCTTTCCGAAGGGCTGGGGGGTAGGGGTGATCACACCCTATCCACGGGGATCCTAAGGTCACAGGGGCACGGCACTGTGCCAAAAGGCGCACCTGCTGCAGGTTGTTCTGGAAGTTGAGGAAGGCCAGGTCTCCCTTCACCTGGCGAATCACTTCCATGGTCAATGCCTTCTCTTCGTGGATGATGGCCAAGTGCAGGAACCTGAGGGGAAAAGAGGGAAAACCCCCCAAGGGGCGGTGAGCGCCACTGCGTGGGGCCCCGGGGCGGGCGCGGGGATTGCGCAAGGCCGGGGTTTCTGCAGGCCGGGGCCGCGGTGTTTTCCGCGAGGTTATTATGAGCTGAGTGTTCCTGGCAGGCGCCCAGGGACTTTCCGGACCCCGCCCCCTGCACGGCGGCGCCGACCCGGCCCGGCCCGCCCTCCCGGCCCGCCCGGAACGCCCTGTACTTCCCCCGCCGGCCGCGCGGCGCCCGCCCGCCCCCTTATGCAACCCAGGACTTGGCGTCCCCGCCGCCGCCCCGCCTCCCAGCCGCCTGCCCCGGGCCGGGGGGCCTCTGGAGGAGGTGTGTGTGCGTGCGTGTTGGGGAGGGGGTGCGGATCGCGGCCAGGGACGACCGAGCGTCCCTCCGTGCGGGGCCTCTCCAAGGAGCCCCGGCCGCGCGCAACCCCGTTCGCAAGCTCCGCGGGCGAGTCGGCGGTTTATGCACGACCCCAGCCCCCCCCAACCCCCACCAACGGCCGGCCGCTGCAGGCCCGAGGCCGTCCCCTCCTCGCCGGTGCACCGGCCCCCGGCCCCCCCAGCACACGCAAACATGTCCAGATCCCGCGACACTTACGAGTCTCCGTCCTCGGTGAGCTGCTGCTTCCAGGGCTCGGCGGCGCGCGGCGCCTCCTGCGGCTGCAGGCGGATCTCGCGCAGCTCCTTCACCATCTGTTCGTACTCCTCGTCCTTCATGGAATCCAGGCCGCTGTCGTGGCGGTCGTCGAGCAGGCGCTCTTTCTTGAGCCCATCCCGGGGTCCCTCCATGGCCCAGTCCTGAGCGTGCTCGGTCGGCTGAAACATGGCGCGCCGAAGGCTGGCGGGGCGCTCCTGGCTCGCTGGCTGCCTGGCTCGCTGGCTGCCGCTCCGCAGGTGCTGCGCGCTGGCGTCCGGACGCTGGGCTCGCCGACTCGGGTGGCGGGCGGTGTGCGCGCGGCGACTCTTGTGGGCTCGGCAGCGCCGCCGCGCCGCCCTATAAACGCTGGCAGGGGATTTCTCTGGGGCGGGGTCAGGCGCGGGGAATTTCCAAGCCAGTCAGACCAGAAAAGAGAACTGGCTTTGGTCCTTTGCGAGGGGCGGGGGGGAAATGAAGGAGAAAAAAAAAAAAGCAAAGCAGCCTCAACTTTGAGCCGGGGTTCATCAGAGAAACTCCCTGGGATGACCCGACGGGGTCATGTACAGGGAACTTTTTTGATGAGCGCTGAGTGGCTGGAAAGTCCTCCCGACCAGGCCCCCTCCGTCTAGGTACTTCCCTGCAAGCTGCATTCGATCGTCACGACCCTCTGCACCCTGCAAAGGCCTCCGTTCCCTGGGGTTTCCCACCGTCTATTTCATTTGGGGGTCATCAGCTGCAGGAATCCGAGGAACGCAGACCTGCGGGGTGGGGGCGGTTCCCCTTTGGGGTTTGCCACCACTCGGCCGGTCCTTTCCGTTTTCTTTATTATTATTACTAGTCTTTTTTTGGTGGAAATGCAAGAGTGGAAGTGATGGCTGGCCGTCAGGAGCTGGCTTCCCCAGATTTCTCCCTGCAAGCCAGAACCCACCGCTGGTGGCTTCCAGGGTGGCGGACTTGCAGGGATTTCTCTGTGCACATAACAGGTTCTGTGCCTTCTCGCTCGACCAGCCTCCTCCAGTGGAAGTCTTGGGAGTTTTCACATGGAAAGGTGTGTGTGTGTGTGTGTGTGTGTGTGTGTGTGTGTGTGTGTGTGTAGGGACAGACATCGTCAGTGCTCAACAGGGCCATGAAGTTTCTGATTTTTTAAAATGTGTTTTTCAAGTCAAGCAAGGCTGCCCATAGCCTTGCAGTAACACCGAAGTTGGTGATCTGTGCCGCAGAGGAAGGATCCTGACCGGTTGCTCAGTGAACAGCTGAGCCATTTTTTCCAGGAGTGTCAGGAGAAGGAGCTGGGAGAATGGACGGAGTAGTTTCCTGTCGGCTCCCCTTCCCCTCTGCAGGAGGCTGAGGCAGCCCTAAGTGGTCCCCTGGGGCTTCTGCTCCCTCCTGCCTGCTCCCCCCCACTCCGGGGAAGGCTGGAGCTGTTCACATCCCTGCAGATGCTGCTTTGGAAGGAATTTGGGGTTCTGACCCCAGACCCTAAGCCTGCAGACCTAGAGTTGCATTCTGCAGCTTCTGGAATTTGGTGTAGGTACCAGGAGGCAGCTTTGATGAGGACTCTTGCACGTGGGCTCCAGGGGCCTCTGCAGGGGTTTCTGACTGTGCTAGCATGTGCTAGCCACCCCTTGCCTCTCCTCAGAGGTCCGCTCGTTCCCCCTGTGCTGAACCAAGGGAACAGGGTGAGAGACAAGATGGGAGGGTAAAGTGAAATCAATCGAAACCTTCAGGGGGCAGTGGGCACCTGTTGAAATGACACCTTTCCACAAGCTGCACTGTCCACAGGTGTGGGTCCTGCAGCCGCAGGAGTAGCAAGCACGCCCTGCACGTGCCTGGGGACATCAGTTTAAGGGTTTTTTTTTTTTTTTTGAAGATGTATTTATTTTTGTTGGGAAGGCAGGTATACAGAGAGGAAAAGGGACAGAGAGGAAGATCTTCCATCCCGTGATTCACTCCCCAAGCAGCTGCAACAGCTGAAGTTGAACCAATCCAAAGTCAGGAGCCAGGAGCTTCTTCTGGGTCTCCCACACAGGTGCAGGGTCCTAAGGCTTTGGGCCGTCCTCAACTGCTTTCCCAGGCCCCAAGCAGGGAGCCGGATGGGAAGTGGGACCCTCTGGGATTAGAACCGGTGCCAGTAAGGGATCCCGACATGTTCAAGGTGAGGACTTTAGCCGCTGTGCTGTCGTGATGATCCCAGTTCAGTTGTTTTTTAATGTAATATATGTGTATATATATATATTTTTACACACACACATTAAGATTGGTCTTTTATTTTGCTTGAAAGAGTTACACAGACCTTCCATTCACTGTTTCACTCCCCAAATGGCCACCATGGCCAAAGCTGGGCTGGTCCAAAGCCAGGAGCCAAAAGCTTCTTCTGGGTATTCCATGTGGGTGCAGGTGCCCAGGGACGTTAGTCATCCTCTGCTGCCTTCCTTTTTTCATTAGCAGGGAGCTGGATGTGAAGTGGCATAGCTGGAACAGACCCTGGCACCCAGAGGGGATGCCAGCACCGCAGGTAGATGATTAGCATACTATGCCATTATGTCTGCCCCAATCAGGTCAGATTTAACATTGTTTAATTTTTTTTGGCAGGTTGAAAGCTATATTACTCATCCTCAAATGCAAGTCTAACTGCTTCCTGAAGCTCTTAGAAGTATCACAGTTTGTAAGTTTTTGGAAGAATTCTGGCATGCTAGGCATCATATTGTTACTTCTTGTGAAGTGGACATTATTCTTACCTTTCCAAGAAGAAACTTGGGATTTGCCCAAAGTGCATGGCACTTGATCTCCTCCTTGTCCTATTCCAGTATAGGAATTGTTGCACCAGAGTCATTGTAGTACCAAGGACCTTTGAAGGCACAGTTCATCTGCAGACTCAGGGAAAGTAGAAAGCAAACATCATCTGGGAATATTCTTTAAAGCTAGTGTGCGGGAAAGTCCAGCTCTTAAGTCCTGCTTGCAACAGACACCTCTGGAGGGGAGCGGGGCTGCAGGTGTTCAGGTAGCTGGGAAGGATCGCCTGTTCGCTGCAGGGGTCTCGGCAATGAGCTTCTCTGCACTTCCTTGGAAGGTTTCTACTCCCGACAGCCTTTGGGAACCAGTGGTGTTTGGTCCTTATTGCTTAGGGTGACACCTAGCGGTGAGAGTCGGGCCCAGGTGTTGCTATATGGATGACAAAGCTGAGAAACCTGGGTGGTGCCAGTCCTGGCTGTGGGGATTCCCGGGGAGGTACCTTTTGTTGTCCTGTAACCCTGGGAGACAGCTCTGAATAATGTGAACCAGCAGGTTTCCCCATCCAGTTGAAGTCCACACACATGACAACCTGAGTGAACCACGACCCGCCTGGAAACCAGAACCATAGGCCAGAGTTGACAACCTACGGGGCTGGAGTTCTCAGAGGAGAAATATTTCTCAACCTCTGGACAGCATTTTTAGCTCAACTGTTTTATTGTATTTTATTTCTTTCTATTGGAAATGCATGTCAGAGTTACAGAGAGAGGGAGAAACAGAAAGAAAGATCTTCCATCCGCTGGTTCACTTCCCAAGTGGCTGCAATGGCTGAAGCTGAGCCAATCTGAAGCCAGGAACCAGGAGCCAGGAGTTGCTTCTGGGTCTGCTATGTGGGTGCAGGTTCCCAAGGACTTGGGCCATCCTCCACTGCTTTCCCAGGCCTCAGGCAGGGAGCTGGATGGGAAGTGGAGCAGCTGGTGTCCGTAAGGGATCCCAGTGTGTGCAACGCAAAGATTTAGCTATTGAGCATCACATTAGCCCTAGTTCAGCTATTTTAAAGATGGTTAGCTAACCTTAGCTATCTGATTTTTAATGCTATCTGTGTTTTCTTTGATTGCAGAAGGCAGCAGAGTAAGTTGCCCTGGAAAGTTGCTCTGTGCTTGGGCCAGGGAGGGACAGGATGTTTGCAGGAGGTCCCTGGGGACAGGGAGCAGCCTCCGGCCCCATGCGTCACCAGACCCGGAAGCTCAGCCAGGCGCTTCCACATCCTCAGCTCCGCTCAGCTTCATGGCCAGGGTGGTCCGTGGCCATCGGCCTGACTGATTCAACCTCGGTCGTTCTGGTCCCGGCCCGTGGAACTCCTGCATCAAGCTCCCCAGGGCTCAGGCCCTGCAGGGCTCCCAGGGTAGCACCTGTGTTCTCTGAGCTTGGCAGCTCTTCCTGCGGAACGACTGGCACGACCTTCCTTTGTAGGGCAGGGAAAGCCGCAGACTCCCAGCTTCCCATGCTGCCTGCGCTACCAGCCCTGCAGACATGAAGGACTCACACTCTGGCAGGTGTAGCAGGGCCATGTTGGGGGACCACAGTCTCCCACGGCTCCAACCAGACAGTGCACTGTCCCATGGGACTGTGGGGCTGGGAGCTCTTGGTGCTCCGGCTCCCCTGTGGTGCAGAGCTAGAGGCTGAGAGCAAGGGGGTCCCCAAAGCAAACACTAGACCACCTAGTATGAGGCGACTGTAACAAATCCAAAACAGATTTATGTGTCCCTCATGGCACATGTGGTTTTTTTTGTTTGTTTGTTTTGTTTTTTAAAAGAATTTATTATTATTATTGGAAGGTCAGATTTACACAGAGAAGGAGAGACAGAGAAAGATCTTCCATCTGCTGGTTCACTCCCCAAGTTGCTGCAACAGCTGAGCTAAGCTGATCTGAAGCCAGGAGCCAGGAGCTTCCTCTGGGTCTCCCATGTGGGTGCAGTGTCCCCTGGCTTTGGACTGTCCTCAGCTGCTTTTCCAAGCCTCTAGCAGGGAGCTGAATGGGAAGTAGAGCAGCCAGGATATGAACCAGTGCTCATATAGGATCCCAGCATATGCAAGGTGAGGACTTCAGCGCTAGGCTTCCACATCAGGCCCCAATATAAGTCATGAAAATGTTTTGGTCAGTGTCTGTGGTGTCCTTGCTTTGTGGGTGTCCTGAGCTTGTGCCCTCTCTGCCTGTTGGGTGACACAGGTCACCCTCAGTCTAAGTTGCAGATGCTCCCTACCCTGGGCACAGTTTGTAGACAGGGAGTGCGATAACAAGCGAGCGATGCTTTGGGGTGGGCAGGATGACTCTACGTGTTGTGCTCAGGGAGGAGAAGCTGGACCAGCAGTGTTTCTTTTTTCGGGGGGTGTCCACAGCTGCTCCTCAGGACACCCGTGCCCCACAGCGGAGTGTCTGGATTGAATCCTGGCTGCTCTATCCCTACGTCATGGGCGCGAATCTGTTTTCCGCGCAGCCAGCGGGGGAGGAGGCACTGAATGGAGGTAAGCTCCCTGCTGGAGCCTGGCATTGAACAAGATAT